TTGAATATATATATTTATCATTTAATAAGGCTTGAAGTTCACCCAATGCTTTATAATTAGTTTTAATTTGGCTATTTTGTTCATATTTACTTTTTAATAGCTTAAATACATCAATTAATTTTGTATCAGATCTTTGTATATAATCATTTTTCTTATAAATACCATAAGTCCAACAGAAAGAAATCATATCTAACATTAATTTGATTAAAAAATTTATTGATTTTATATTTAAGGCTTTTATTTCTTCTTGATTAGTAATAGTACTACTATATAAATTTGTATTATTATCCCCAAGAGACTTAATTACTTTAAGTCTTGCAATAAATTCAAGAATTTTAACAATATTGTTTGGATTGCAGTCTCTAGAATCATGAATAAAGACAATCCCTCCAAAGCTTTGTATTAAATTTTGAATTCTTTCAAGTACTTGGTTTTGATTTGAATTATTCAAAAATTTGGACTGAATATTATATCTAATATTATACTTGTAAATGCAATTTTCATTAAATAATTGTCCTTTTAAATTATCATCAAAATTGGGATCATTTTTAACTTGTTCACATTTAGAAATCAATTCTCTTAAAAGTTTGACCATAAATTTATATACTATAATCTTTTCAGATTTTAAACGATCCTCAGAAGTTTTAATGCATTCATTGATTGAACACATAACACCATGATGAGAATAACCACTACATTTTGTTTTATTATCCATCTTAATTTCATATTTAATATTTTTCTTATATTCTTGTAATAATGATTTCCAGTATTCAATTTTCTCTTGAACAAAACAATTATTAAACTCAGTAAAATCTTTTAATATAGTAACAAAATGATTAAGCATTCTTGCTCCAAAAGTTGAGTTGGCAATGAGTTTTTTATAGTTTTTAAATAAAAATGAATATAAATCAATTAAAGGAATATATTTTTCATTTTCACATTCATCAATTTTACCAGAATAATGTTCTGTATGAATTTCTGTACTTGGTTGAATATTATGAAGGCTTTTACAATCATCAAGTATTTGTTTTAGGTAATCTTTTAATACATTTAAAGAATTAACAAGTGTTTGATAATTAGTAGTTTCAATATTCTTTTTCATAATAGAATGAGAAGTAATGAAACTATTTAAATTGGTTTTATACATTTTAGTTTCTCTGACTTGAACTTGTAATATAATCTTTTTAACTTTTTCAAGTAAGTAATAAATCCTGTCTAGAGTATTTAAATTGCAGTTGAGTAAGTACAAATCCTCCAGTCCATTTTCTCTCAGAAAACTTTTCATAATGATTTGATTTTGCAATTTCATTAAATTTTGTATTTGGGTAGTATTTAACCTATTAGTTTGTTTTTGAGTGGTTTTTAAATGATTTTGTTCATCTTCAGTTTGGTCATCACTTAGGTCATTACTTTGGTTATCAGTGAGGCCAGAAATCTCAGAGGTTATTAGTTTAGCATATTTATATGTTTTTGGGGGTACGGGGGGTGGTATTTTAGAAGCTGGGGGTAGTGGTGGTTTTGGTGATGGTGGAGGAGGAAGTGGAGATGAAGGTGGAGGAGGTAGTGGAGATGGAGGTGGAGGAGGTAGTGGAGATGATGAAGGCGGAGGAGGTAGTGGAGATGATGAAGGCGGAGGAGGTAGTGGAGATGATGGAGGTGGAGGAGGAAGTGGAGATGATGGAGGTGGAGGTAGTGGAGATGATGGAGGTGGCGGTGGTGGCGGTGGTAGCGGTGGAGACGATGGAGTTGAAGGATTTGGAGATTGATACGGTGAGAATGATGGAAGTGATACAGATGGAGATGGGGGAATTGGAGATTGGGAATGTAAAGGTGATGGTTGCGATGGAAGTGGTGATAGAGGTGATTGAGGTGATAATGATGGTGGTAATGGCGGTGGTGGCGGTGATGGAGGTGGTGATGGTTGTGATGGTGATGTTTGTGGCTGTAACGGTGATGTTTGTGACTTTGGCTGTAATGAAGGCGGAGATGGAGATGGAGATGGTTGTGGCTGCAACGGTAATGGTTCTGGTTCTGGTTGTATTGAAGGCGGAGATGATGGAGAAGGTGGTGGCGGAAATGAAGATGGTGGTGGTTGTGGCTGCAAAGATGATGGCTGTGGCTGCAACGGTGATGGCTGTGGCTGCAACGGTGGTGGTTGTGGCTGCAACGGTGATGGCTGTTGCTCTGATTGTAATGAAGGCGGTGATGATGGTGGCGGTGGCAGAGACGGTGCTTCTGTAGTTTCCGCTCCATTTGAACCTTCTGGAATTTCAGAAGTTCCTGCACCTCCTGATTCACCATGTCCTAAAGAAGATTCTTCAGAATCAATGAATGAAGAATCATCTATAGAAGATACATCAGTTAAAGGAGGAACAAATCCTCCAACAAGTCTTGAAAAAGGGCAACTCTCTGTTTCTGTCAATTTTGGGATCTTCATAACTACATGTTTAA